CTCTTTTCTACCACGATATGCAGCGAGGTATAACATTCACAGCAGTACTAGTAACCAATAACAGCATCAATAACAGCAATGAACAGCAATTGGACGATCAGAAACAGCAACTCCACTCGCCACAGATCACAGTATGTAAATGTGGACAATATAACATGTACAATATGTGGCCAGACATAATGGCCAGACATACTCTTACACAACGTTCTAGATTGTGAGAAAATAGATCGTTTTAGAAATAGATTCAAGTGTGTGTGTGTGTGTGTGTGTGTGTGTGTGTGTGTGTAAACTATGGACAAGTTTCTTTACGCCATTGGGAACCTGGATGTTAATCGATTTGCGGATCTTATTCCGGGGTAATGGTTAGCCAGTGCAGTTGGCAAGTTGTCCGGTCTTCTCGGACTATTCCTTAACACTGGGTCACGCAGCTCGTTAACTTAGGGTGTGGTTGTTATGTTGGCGACAGCTTCTAAAACAAATTCACGCCTCGGTGGCCCTTGGGCCAGCCATCGTCGTTACACGAGGGGCATCCATTATTAACATCATCAGTAACACCAACATTTAGTAACAACAAGAACAATAACAACAACAACAACAGCAACAACAACAACAACAACAGACAAACAGAAACAATCCAGTACAGTCTACTAGTGACAGCTGGGAGGGGGAGAGGCAGGATGCTGTAGACACCAGATGAATGTACGTACACAGGCAGTCTGTCTGTACTTGTTTAGGTGTGTGTGTGTGTGTGTGTGTGTGTGTGTGTGTGTGTGTGTGTGTGTGTGTGTGAACTTGACAGGCACAGTTCCCTCCCTAAAAAAAAAAAGAGACAAAAATAGAATGAAAAAGGGCGGAAACAAACGGAAAAACAAACAGAAAAAATATAAAAACTGAAACAAGTTTATAACAATCCTCCCTCCTCCCTCCCTCCCTCCCTCCCCACCCACCTCCCACCCACCTCACTACCCACCATCCCTCACCCCTTCCCCTACCCACCCTCCCTCCTCCTTCACCCCTACACATTAAAAAAAGATGTTAAGTAATACATTATCCCTGCTGTTCGCCCATTACTGTAACCTAGCCCCATTGTCCCCTTGATAAATGGTTATTACCTTCGTCACTACATTAATCCCCGCCAGGAATAATAGAGTCGGGAATAAATGTCCAAAAAGGGGGAAAAAAGGGGAAATAAATGCGGTAACCAAAAAAAAAAAAAATAAATAAAAGAGAATTACGTTAAAGAATTTTTGTATCAACGAAAAGAATAAAAAATTGTTCCAGTGAAATTTAGGGTAAAAAACGTAAATAAATAAATAGAGGAAAATAAAATGCTTCAATATGCCTTCTGAACCTAACCAACAACACTCACTAATACCCCAACTGACCAATGATATCGTCGCCCCCATGATGTACCTGGTTTTTCATTGGTCAGTTTTTAGAGGGAGGGATGACGGTAAAAGAGATTCATTTTACTTGGAAGGTTATATTGCTTACTTGGTTTGAGAATTATGCATCTACAGGTAAAGAATGTTAATAACTCTTAGCACAGGTGTGGACTCGGGGTACAATTACAGGTACAGGTATACAAGTACAGGTATTGTATATGAAAGGAGCAACAATAACAATAATAACCACAACAACAACAATAATAATAATTAATAATAACAATAATAATAACAACAACAACAATAACAACAACAACAACAACAACAACAACAACCATAACAACAACACTCTCTCCTCTCCTTATTAACAACATAACAAGAGATGGGCCAATAAGGGGTTAAGTTTGACCCTTATACACAAGAGGTAAAAGGTTCAGGTAACTTTCCAGGTGTGTCTTACCTCTACGGCCAAACTCGAGTCTAATTAAAACTTGATCGCAAAGTGACGACTTGAGCCCCGTTACCCGAGTCTTGGAGGCTTTACTAATCCTTGAACCTACCCAAATCTAACCTAAGCTAACCTGACCTAATCTAACCTAACCGATAAGAGAGGGACCCATATGATACCCACAATCTCCCCATAGATTTAGGAGCATTTGCTGGAAACAAGGCTCACAAAGTACTTGGGTTCATACAAAGGAGTGTTCGTTACAAGACCAGCGAGGTCATCTTAAAACTATATCTTGCGCTTGTGAGACCTCACTTGGATTACGCAGTTCAGTTCTGGTCACCGTACTACAGAATGGATATAGAATCCTGAGAAAGAATTCAGGGGACAATAACAAAACTAATCCCGGACATTAGGAACCTTGAGTACAGAGACAGGTTAAAGCATCTTAATTTGCACTCCCTCGAGAGACGTAGAGTGAGGGGCGATATGATCGAGGTGTATAAATGGGAGTCAGGGCTAAACAAAGGTTACATTACAAAGGTACTCAAACTATCCAACCAGGAGGGAACTTGTAACAATGATTTTAAATTAGACAAATTTAGATTTAGGCGCGAGATAGGTAAACATTGGTTTGGAAATAGAGTAGTGGACGAGTGGAACAAGTTACCAAACATCATCATTAACTCGAATACGCTGGATAGCTTCAAACATAGGTTGGATGGATATATGAGCAATAGGGGTTGGGTGTAAACGGGACTGTCCAGTATGGGTCAATAGGTCCGCTACAATTCCTCCATTCTTATATTAACACACCCCAGGCAGCATACCTCCCCAGACCCTACATCACTTCACCAACCAACCACATCCTCTTGAGTATAACCCTTGGCATCATATATCTATTATAAGCCTTCAATAACTCACTATAATCCCGATAATTCGCATAATGAAGGCATAACTACGGCATTATCTGCTATTATGTGTAATGTATTGCATCTTAGGTCGAGAATTACCTAACAATATCCCTAAAAAAAGGTCCTTAATGTTTGTTATTATACGTTGGGGTTATTTCTGATAGCGTGGTTGTTGTTATTGTTATTATTATTATTATTATTATTTGTAGTAGTAGTAAAGTGATAGTAGTAGTAATAGTAGTAGTAGTAGCACCAAGTCCAACACCTAGTAAATCCGGTAAGCAACAGGTAATTGCCAACCCAACACACGTCGGCTGCAGGTGAGTTACCATCACCTATATATCACGACACAGGAAGTGCATTTGAGTCGCCCTTTTGACCGTGTCGCTAAATCCCAAGAGATGAGGAGAGAGAGAGAGAGAGAGAGAGAGAGAGAGAGAGAGAGAGAGTATACAACGTAAAGAAACAATTTAAAGAGCTGGAATGATCTATCTGTCTATCTATCTATCTATCTTCTCTGATCGACCAGCACAGGTAAAGGAAGGGTTTAACGACACAGGTAGATCGGTCAACGTAATTACCGCACCTGAACACTCTCTTACCTGTTCTTTCCCTCGGGGTGTCAGTGAGTTATTTACCTTTATCTGGTAACAATTATTTCCCTCTACCTGTGTGTGGGGGGGGGGGATTATATGTTTTTATCTGGTAACAATTATTTATTCCCGTTTATGTGGTAACAGTTATTTTTCTCTGCCTGTATACTGGTTAGGTTCTGGTTAGTTTTTGGTTAGGTTAGGTTTTGGTTAGGTTAGGTTAGGTTAGGTTTTGGTTAGGTTAGGTTAGGGTGTTTAATCATCAGTTGAAATAAGCTGGGGTGCCTAATCTACATGTGCTCTAGTTGAGGTTGTTATTGTTATTAGGTCACGAGGTCACACGAGGTCACGAGAGGTCACGAGGTCACACGAGGTCACGAGAGGTCAAGAGTCGTGTTTATATCACTCCACCGACATTACTTTCTAATCTGATTGCACTTGAGCGAGACACAACATCACTCAGGATGGTATTTTTCCCAGGCTGTCTCTCACCTTTGACCTTTTGACCTTGACAGACAGACAGACAGACAGACAGAGAGAGATTTGTAAACAGACAGGTACATATGGACAGACAGATAGATAGATAGAGTAAATGGAGACAGAGAGACAGCGAAAGACAAACAGAAACAGACAAAAACACAGACAGACAGAAAAAGACAGACGGGCAAAAACACAGACAGACAGACAGACAGACAGACAGAGAAGCCAATTAGCAATATCTTATTCTACACCACTACTAAAATAGCTCATTAAACACAGCCAGCTTTTACCCTCTTAATTACTCAACCCGTCAATAATAGCTCACGGTTCGACGCGATATTACAAAATGATTTAGGAGTTATTTATTATTTTTTTTAGGGCAGTGGGGGGTGGTTATTATTACATAATTAACCTGTAATATTTCATCACTTTAGAGGGATAATGAAGAGAGTTGAGCAATGTGGGTTAGTGGAGGTGTGTATGTTGGTGTTCTTGTTATTGATTTGTTGTTCTTGTTGTAGTTATTGTTTTTATTATTATTAGTAGTAGTAGTAGTAGGAGGCCACGTTTCAAATAAATAGTAATAATAGTAGTAGTAGTAGTGGACAGTAGGAAGCAGCAGACGCAGTACAGTAAGCAGGTGCAAGCAGACACACAGGAAGGAGTGTGGTGAGGTGGATGACACACGAGAGAGAGAGAGAGAGAGGAAACTGCCAACTCACCACCTGCAAAATACCACTTGGTAATCTGCCTCATCATTAACGAGAATTAAATCGCGAATGTTTTAAACACTCCATCGTGGGGTTTTTAAAGCGAGATAAATCACTATATATCTTAACTACTAGTAATATCACTACTTTACTATCGACTATGACTACAAATACTTATAATAGACCTAATTAAAGTATTATAATTATACGCAGAGTTAAAGTTTCGTCGGTAAATAATAATTCGTCAACATGGGAAAATTTCTCTGAGTATTATATAAGTAAGATAGTGTTGCCAGAGTTACGAGACCATGAGTTTAAATATTTTCATTAATAACTATAATTTGTATTAATATTTCGGTAATTAAACTATATTCATCACTTAGAGGGTTGGAATATTAATAATTAGAGAGTGATGCAGGTGTTCTATCTATAGTAAAGAAGGTTAATTAAAAGGTTAGTAATTAACTCACCTGACGTATGTGGCATCGTTGTCCAGGTGTGGTGATCACGTTTTCTGTGACGTTTAACTACCGTGTCAACACTAAATTAGTCTTTAATATCGTCTTTTCTCCCTCTTACGAGTCCTTTCTGTACTCAACAGTTAAGAGTACAGTCACTGATGGTAATTTTGTTTGAGTACAACCACTGTTAATAATGTTAGTTACACAAAAACACATAAATCACACACACACACACAAAAAAAACACTATTTACACTTCAGCTGGCGGCCGTGCACTGCCTGGAGGCTCTTCCAGTCGAGATAACCTCACCTACGCCTTGCGTCTGATTGGTCGTTGATATCATTTTCAAGTTTCTAATTGGTCACTTCTAATCTTTTCCTTATCTGTGATTGGGTCACTTGCAGCCCGTCTCATTTTTACGCTTGTTATCGTTACATATTTCTACAACGAAGAGAAAATTGTATAGTTATTCTCACTTAAATATAAAGTAATTAGCGATATATTAAGTAATTACAGGACCAAAATTACCTTAGACAATATTTCAAATTACGTCCAATGAATTTGATATCCGGACCACATGAAGATTAAACACCCCAGCTTATGTTAGGTTAAGTTCGAGTGTTTAATCGTCATGTGAACTAAGCTGGGGTGTTTAATGGTCATGTAAACTAAGCTGGGGTGTTTAATGGTCATGTGAACTAAGCTGGGGTGTTTAATGGTCATGTGAACTAAGCTGGGGTGTTTAATGGTCATGTGAACTAAGCTGGGGTGTTTAATCTTCATGTAATTTGTGTAATATCCTTCCTATCCCTACTACCCTACCCTACCCTACCCAACGTGTTTACATAATGGCAAGAATTCTTTAGTGTTGAGAATAGCATTTCGAGCAATCCACAGTGTCAGGTTGGCTCACACAGGTACACAACCATCCATAATTCAAATATTATATATTACTAGACATTAATGCAGTCCATCATCACCATTATCATCATCACCATCATCATCACCACACCACCACCACCACCACCACCACCACCACCACCAGGGCCAGGGTGGTACTTAATAACAACTATGTAGGTATTTCATTACGTGTCTGAAACCTCCTAAAACTTTCTCCTCCCATATTTCACTGTGTTAGTCTCTTCTGACACGTCTTTGTTATGGCGGTGGAGAGAGAGAGAGAGAGGGGTTGAGGGGAGAGAGAGGGGGAGAGGGAGAAGATGGGGGGGTTGACAGTGAGAGACAGAGGAGGGAGAGAGAGAGAGAGAGGAGAGAGAGGGGGGAGAGAAGATGGGGGTTGACAGTGAGAGACAGAGGAGGAGAGAGAGGGTGGGAGAGAGAGAGAGAGAGAGGGGGGTGAGGGGGGAGAGGGAGAAGATGGGGGGTTGACAGTGAGAGACAGAGGGAGGAGAGAGAGGGAGAGAGAGAGAGAGAGAGAGGGGGGGTGAGGGGGAGAGGGAGAAGATGGGGGGTTGACAGAGAGACAGAGGGAGGGAGAGAGAGGGAGAGAGAGAGAGAGATATTATGCCTCATGCAACCCGGGAAGCAATTTTCTGGGAGACTTTGTTTAGTATTAACCTGGGAAGAATTAACGGAGGACGAGGGAGGGGGTGATTACAGGGGCAGAGGGTCACGGTAGGAAGGAGAGAGGTCCAAGGGGAGGAAGAGAGAAGAATCCAGGCAGGAAGGAAAGGGGTCCAGAGGGAGGGAGGGGGTCCAGGGGGAGAAGGAAGGGGGTCCAGAGGGAGAAGCAAGGGGGTCCAGGGGGAGGATTGAAGGCTCCAGGGGCACGAAATTATGACCACGGCGTAATAACAGTCTTTGTTTACCTTGGAATCCTAGAGAGAGAGAGAGAGAGAGAGAGAGAGAGAGAGAGAGAGAGAGAGAGAGAGAGAGAGAGAGAGAGAGAGAGAGCACCCATTACTCAGGACAGGAAGAACCCAACTACACACAACCAAAACACAACCAACATCTCACATCACTGAAATAAAATGTTTTACTTCATCCTGGGGGGAAAAATGTATATAATCCCCTTAAATAATTTTATACACTCATTTAAGTTTTATCTCCTGGGAAAAAAAATCAACAAGACTAATAAGGATTTTTACGTTCCTTATAATTATCTCGTAACTTTAACTTGTATAATGATTTGTTTAATTTGTTCTTTTGGTGAATAAATTTAGCAATATGAGTTTATATTTATTTTAGTTTTTAGTTTATTTTGTCTTATTATTGATGGAGTTTTAATTTTTTTATTAGAATTATTAAATATTTTATGTTGGTGATTTATTTTTTTATTTTTATTTATTTTTTTACAAATTTTAAGTACATCTTGACGAACAATTTAAAGTATTATTTTAGGGGATTAAATATGGTACCTAAACCTTAAGAAATATCTAATTCCCTCTACGACCAAACACCTTAAAGGGACAAATTTAAGGGACACTGTAGTAGGAGGTGTTGGGGGTGGGGAAGTGTTGGGGGAGGGAGGGGAGGAGGGGGGGAGGGGGGAGGGGGGGAAGGGGAGGTGGGGAGGGAGGGAGGGGAGGAGGGAGGGAGGGGGAGGGATGGAGGGAGGTGGTAGGGAGGGGGGAGGGAGGGAGGGAGGAGGGGAGGGAGGGGAGGTGGGGAGGGAGGAGGGAGGGAGGGAGGTGGGCAGGGAGGGGGGAGGGAGGTGGAGGGAGGAGGGGAAAAGATTTGGAGTTTAGAGCTATAAGAAACTCTTTGCAGACATCCTCTCTTCCCCTCCTTCCCTCTCCTCCTTTCCTCTCCCCTCCCTCCCTTTTCTCTCCCTCTCTCTTCCTCCCCCTCCTTCACACTCCCTACCGAGCCACTTACCGCGCCTCAAGAAGAAGAAGAAGAAGAAGAAGAAGAAGAAGAAGAAGCAGAAGAAGAAGAAGAAGAAGAAGAAGAAGAAGAAGCAGAAGAAGAAGAAGAAGAAGAAGAAGAAGAAGAAGAAGAAGAAGAAGAAGAAGAAGAAGAAGAAGAAGAAGAAGAAGAAGAAGAAGAAGAAGAAGAAGAAGAAGAAGAAGAAGAAGAAGAAGGCCGTGTTTACAAATTCTCCGATACTTGGTGGTGATTGGTCGGTTCCACTCTCGATCCAACACTGTGTAAAGAGATGAGTGAATTAAAGTTTGGCCGGGAGGAAGAAATCTATCCTGTCTCTCCCTCTCTCCCTCTCTCCCTCTCTCCTTCCCTCCCTCCCTCTCTATCAACCTCCCTTTCCATTCCCCCTCAACCACTTCTTCAAAGATAAATAAAAAATTATCATGTTTTCAGCGCTTCAAAGCAGGGAACACAGAGAATTCTGTATACGTGTTCTATTCGAGGTATGATTATTTTTTATCTCCCTCTGTTGATTTCTTCCTTTTTTTCTTGTTATAAAGAAAGTTTTATGTGTATTGGGGGAGTAATCTTCAGGCCACTGTGTGTGTGTGTGTGTGTGTGTGTGTGCGTGTGTGTGTGTGTGTGTGTCTTTTTTCTACACTTACAAACACAGGTTATAAAAAAACAATAGTATAACAGCTTCTGACCCCTTGAGACGACCCGATAATAGAATCAGATTCCCTTTTAATAGAATCAGGTATATATTTTTTTTACGGAGCTCGGTGAAGGAACAGATGACTAACTGAGGTAATAGGCGTGTGTGTGGGAGTTAATAGCTGGTTATTACAGAACTACTTCTACTACTACTATTACTACTACTACTACTACTACTACTACTACTACTACTACTACTACTACTACTACCCCCTCCCCCCATCACTCCTATTGAGGTGCCCAGAGGAGAGCCAATATATCCCTATTACTGGCACAAACTTGATCAATAATTCTCAAGATTCAATGACACTAAGAACCAGGAAGTCCATAAGTTCGTTCGTTATGATAGGGAAGCCAATGGTTGAACGCCCATAAGAGCTTGTGATGGATGACACTCTCTTCCCACCCACCTCTTTCGTATAAGTTTTGACGGGATCCCAGATTGGTCGCGGCCACATCCAAGTTTTGTAAGATTTTTTTTTTCATTTTTTTTATCAATTTTGAAACATGGGAATTGGATCCTTATTGCTGAGGGCCCTAGGGGAGGAATCTTGGATGGTTGTGTTAGATGGGTGAGGTCGTGTGAAAGGATAAGAACGCTGGAATTTCTGCTAAAAAGAGAGAGAGAGAGAGAGAGAGAGAGAGAATATATCAAAATATGGAAACACACACACACACACACACACACACACACACACACACACACACACACACACACACATACACACACACACACACACACACATACACACACACAAACACTAGCCACCCTCTAGCTCCCAGGGGTGTCGCTTCTGAATGGCAACACTTGCGTCACGAGTTTGCAGTTTTACCAGATTACAGTTTACGTCTCTTGTTTTTACTGGTGCCTGGACGTGACTGTTTTTAGTTTGAGGAGCTAACTTTGGTGTGAGGTGTGTGTGTGTGTGTGTGTGTGTATGTGTGTGTGTGTCAGGTCAGATTAAGTTAGGTTAGGTTATATTAACTTTAGTGTAAGTTTATTCACGTTATGCTTAGGTTAAGTTAACTTAGAGATGATAAAGATGAGATTAAGTTAGAATAAACATTGGGTCAGAGTTTGGAATAATTAAACCTGTCAATTGAGGATATGAGAAAGGAGGCCATCTTGGGACCCAACTAGCCATAGCAATCACCAAGCCCAGGGTTCGATTTCCGACCTTAAATAGAGCTATTACCTTCCATCTCTCTTATCAACAGCTGAGCTATTGTCTCCCCGGATAATGAAGGGATTATAAGCGGCTGTATTGTGGGGTGGCCAGCGCGAGTCAGCAGCTTTCCCAAACAATGACGCATCGATCTCACCGCCACACAAAAACCCCTTGAACGAACCTACAGGGGAATACAAACCTATTTAGAGAGTCTACTGTCAATTGCTATATATCTAGTCTCCTATTGAGTCTATTTTCTTGATTTAGTTACATGGGGATGACGATATTAATAAGGTAGACATAGGTGGCGCTGTTATCGTGGCGGGTGACAGTCAAGAGAGGGTCGAGTTGAGGATTAGGTTACGGGATGTGGGATCGAAACCTCCCACCGTGACGCTTTTTTGTCACGACTTATTGACTCTGACGTTTAATTGTATCTATTGTGTGTCTTTTGGAAATTATATACGGCCCAGGTGATAAGGACAATTAATTTACTCTAACTTCAGGTGTTATATAGATGTATAGGAGAGTTATATAGGATTATACGTCGG